ATATAATCCTAGTTACCATGTAAATTTATGGTAAGCTGCTGTGATATTAGCCACAGGTGCTACTTTTAATATATGGCCTGCATCTGGCTGGGAATAAAATTTCTCAGAGGACTGAAAATGACCTCACTATCAGACAATGGAGAAGAAAAAAAAGCCACAAGACCGCTGTGGCATATAAAAAGCTGGAGATGTGGTCCACAACCAAATATTTAACATAAAATTCATTTTACCTCTGCAGATTGTAGCTTGAAGGATATTATGTTTTCAATACGTAAAAGGCGTGGCCGTATTTCAGCCAAACAGTCACAAGATTAAGCGCATAAAGCGGCAATGAAATACACTGCCTACATACATAAAACCAAATTTTCCAATCTTTGATCAGCGCAAGAAGAGAAAGCAACGTGCCAGGAGCAGAAGAAGGAAGCACCGACGCAGATGATGTTACGGGGGCTGGCACCGAGTACCACCAGTGAAACAAATGAAGAGTATTCGCTGCATATCCTAGCAAATCCATTCGGATGTGGTATTGCAATATTACAACAAGGATGATCAATTTAAAGGGGCAAAGGAAAATAATTGGCATTTCAATGAGGGGCGGGGGGGGGGGAAGGCATCTACTATAACATGCTCTGATTTTTTTTTTCCCCTGGATTTCAAGCAAGAGAGCAAGGAAATTTGGAAAGGAAATGCAAAGTGAGAATAATAATTTATTTCACCATTCTACATTTTTTGCACATCTTCAAATAAGTTCTCGAAAACCCAAAGTCCACAACTGCAATGAAACACACAGGCTTCTACTCTCGCTACCCACCGTCCTCCAAGGCGTTCCCGTACCGTCCCCTCCGCTCAGGCTCATCTTTCGCCTGTGTCCTGTAGCCCCAAAACACAAAATGCATTTAAAATAGCTTTTAAAACTCTTAGAGCATTTGATTTCCTGTCATTTTATAAAATGACGGTAGAGGTCTTATGGAGGCTTCCTACACGATTTTCTTTTTTTTTTAAAAAAACCAACCTTAATTAAAAACTTACCCTATAAAAGAAAGCAGCTGTAAATGCTGAACCTGACCGTCCACAAACATGCCCACCTTTGTAATTTCCTAACTGCATTTGCTGCCTTTGCGTGATTGCCTAAGGAAATGCAATCACACAGGCAGTTGCCCCTTAAACCCTCTGGTCAAATCCAACCAACTTTGACAAGAGACATGGGAGCCTCAGAGTTAAGATATTCCTGCAAATTCGGTGAAAATGAGCAGCTGGGTAAAGGACCCAAGGCGAGCGCTCAGCACCCATCACCCGGAGCCCTCTGCAGCTGCCCGCTGTCGGCTCAGCCAGGACCGAGCTTGAGATGAACCCGGGGGAAATTCAGATTTTTAAGCCAGGTCTGTCCCCTTTGCAGGATCACCCGTCCCAAGGTGTATGGACCTGAAATGCCAAGAAAATCCCAGGAAATTCCCGAGATACAGGCCAGGACATTGAGGTCCTCAGCAACCCTTCCCTCCCTCAATGACCAACTTTTAGCAACAGCCCCAACGTTTCTGCACCTTCTTTTCTGAGTTTGCAGAACGATAACTGGGAGGAGTTACCGGCATGGTCTGGAAGCGTAAATTAACTTTCTGTCCTGATTCTGAATTTTGCTTGGGCAGGTGAGGAGGAACAGATGCATCGGTGCAATCAGCTCAGCTCTTCTCAACAAGGTGCTCTCCTCTCCAGTTGAGCTGCGTTTGCATTTTTTTCCCCCACCGTTGCTGTGTTTTATATTTTATACAAGATTCAGGGCACCCACCCACCAGGAGCCCCCACCAGGCAATGGGGACGCGGAGCAGCATCCAGCACCAGCGCTGCCCAGTCTGGGACACGGGGACCAGTGCGTGGTGGGCACCCAATGCAACGTAACCAACAAAGGGCTCCCAGCTGCGCCCCCAGGCTGGCTTCCAGCTCGTTTCAGAGCATTGTACCTCCAAAGCCCATCGGCACGAAAATGTATCTTCAGACTAACGAACAGCACCAGCCCTTTCAAATTCTGGGTTACAAACTAATTCCGTAAGCCCGAAGTGTCATTAGCTTGTCAGCCTTACGAAGGCAGCCCCTTGCTGATCGCTTTTAACCGGGCTAATCTCAGCCTGAAAGCTTCAGGAATCTAAATAACTCTTGTTTCACAGAAGTTTCATTTCATTCTCATGCTGAAAATAATATACATAAACCAAGCTCATGTCTACACATTTGCACGACTTTATAACAAAAGTTGTGTTTATATTCTTAACATCTGTTGACATACATAGACTTTGTAAACCTGGCATAGATTTTAAAGCCACAGAATTTTCCATGCATCATGAACATTATCTGCAAGAAGCAATAAAAAAAGACCAATGAATACATTAATCATAGCAATATCATCTGCAAAACATAAATCTGAAATACCTTTCATGTCAGCTCAACTACTTTTTTTTTCTCCGCACACCTGATTTTACGCCCTCTGTAAAAGGGCAGCAGGAAGATCACTGAGGAAATGGCATTTCTCAGTGCTCTGACTTTCACTAAATACTCACACTTTAGATAATGTAAACAGAGTATTTATTGCGTGAAATGAAAGAAGTTCTACCTACAAGCTGAAATTTTGTCATTGCAGGACTAAATTTTCCCCAAGGTACAATGCAGGTGTAGCTCCAGTTTTGTCATTCGTTCCCTAGGTCGTAATAAACACAGTACTCACTAATAGTTATCATAAACATAAGCATCCATAAATATACATCCATAACTTTAATTTACTTTCAACTTATCGATACCAGCTCTGATCACCCCCTCGGGATCTTCATGCTGAGCCCTTTCCTGGACTGCGGTAACAGGAACGACGTCTGCCCTCCGCCACTGCAAACGGGGACCCGGCTCTTACACATCAGCAGGTGAAATTCTGCCTCCAGATACTCGCATTTAACCTCGATCCAGCCAGAGCTGCACAGAGGAGCCGCCCTGGTATCCTGGCTGGGCACAGAAAGTTTGGGTTTGAAGGCAATTCCCAGGCTCTGCTCTCATTTCTGCCTTAGCTGACACCAATGAAGGGCAACCAAGAATGAGAGAGACTGTACCGGTATCTCCCAAATAATTCATGTGGCCATTTTTTTTGGAGTACCGTTTCTACGATGACACGTACTACAAGTACAAATGTATACTTCATCATTTACTAATGAGCATATTTAAATATACTCAACTTCCTCTGCCGGTATGTGCTTCATCAATCTTCAAACTGGGAAGACAGATGGATATCTACCTGTGTTGGAAGATAAATGTACGCAGTCCAAAACCCACAACTTTGTACATTTTTGCCAAAGCAATGGGTTTTCTAGCTAACTCCTGGTGCAGCACACTGACCTGCCTCTTGACCTGTCTGTTGGCACACTGCTTAAATTCCATCTGGGCAAATCAACTTATTTATTTACAGTGTGCAAAGCCACTTTTTAATTAACCTTGGGGGACGGGGGAAGTCATTTCTAGTTGTGCTGAACCAACAAACACTTTGACCATGCCCCGGCAGAGATGCCGTTTCATGAATATTCGAAGCACAAAGGCTGAAAATCTCAGCTCCTCCAAGGGTTCCTTCTCTCTCATCGGTGGCCAACATGGTCTCTCCTGCTTGCTCCAGCTCCAAGCTGCCCCTGCATCTCGCCAAGGCTTCATGTCAGCTCCCTGTCATGGGCCTCCCTCCTCCGCTGCCCTCTGAATTATCTGATACGGGTCTATTTGTTCCGTATGAACGTTCAGGATTGAAGTGCAATCCAGGAAAAAATGTACTTGGGGCTTCAGACGTGCTCCCTGGACCAGCACCCTCCTGCTCCTGAGCTGGATTTTTCTGCAGGTGTTTTCTCTTTTGCTTTCTCCCAGCTCAGAGGGGTCGGGAGCACCTCACCCACCTCTCTAGTGCCTGGGCTTTCCTTACCGTGACAACTACTGTCTGAAACAGCAAAAAAAGAGCCAGTGTTACAAACTGTTGTTTATCTAGCTCACTGTGATTCCCTAAAAAATCTTGGTCTGCGTTTAGGCATAGCCATGTCAATAAACAGCTGGCAGCACAGCTCTGGGCCCCTGCACACGCCGACAAACCCATGGCCTCCCAAAGCCCGGAGCTCGCTGCGTCCCTCCCGTAGCGAGGAAAAGAACCAGCTCGGCGAGAGGCATCGCCCAACAAAACCCTGGGTTTCCTCTCCCGCCTGAGAAAGCGCTCACCTCTCCTTCAGAAATAAACCAGAAGGGAAACGCACGCCCTTGGAACGTGACTTTTTTCTAAGCAATGTCATGATTCCTCAGAAGGCAATTTGTTAGGGGAACGTGGCCGATCGCAGATCTCGAAATAAATCCCGTATTTCTAAAGCAAGTCTGCAACTGATGTCCAAGAGGTGTTCTTGCAAGTTTGAGACATGGCTCAGGATCCTGACTCCAAATAAAACCCCAGCAAGGTCTAACCAGCCGCCTGCTGTGCCGAAACCACTGCGAGACCAGCAACTACGAGTCATTCAAGAACTCTGCCTTCCTGCTTAGAAGGTGAAATGTTTCATATTTTCCCCACCTGATTCGACAAAAGCTTCTGTTCTTGTATTTACCCGTTTTTCTCAAGTCTTTCCCTGACAAAAAGGAACCCCGCTGCCCATCAGTTACATATTTCCAGCATTCATTTACGAGTGCTAGCAATGAAATAAAGAAATACATAAATCAGGATCAAATATTATTTGTCTAATCCCATAGTACTGACCCTGACCTTCACCCTAGCATTATAATCAAGAAACTGTAATATTAGAACGAATCTACTTAACAGGTACAAACCGGAATGAATTTACTCCACCTAATGAGATCAGAAGCCGAGAGCAATCTGCCGAGGCAAACCCAAGGGCGTTCGGCTCCACAAGGACACTCCCAGATTTCTGAATATAAGTATGTTCCCATCCAGATGGTATGGAAATTAAAGCACTTACGTTTCCTTTATATTAAAAGCAGTACATAACCATGATTACCTGATTAAAATTTTTGAAATTGAACTCCTTGTAGATGGCATCTCTTTCGCCTAGCTCAGACCAGCCTGCAGCTTTGAGATCAAGTAAGGCTTGGCTCCTCTCCTCCGCCGTCAACCAGTGAGGCTGCGAAGACTGTCGAGGGGAAAAATACAAACATGGCACGAGTGAGGCCGAGGTTCTCTTTTGTACCACGATAAGAAAACGGCATGATGGAACTGTGGTTCTGTATTGGAGAAAGGTAAAGAGGTGGAAAATCCACTGCTCTGTTTACAATTTCACAGACCAGCGTAACTTAAAGCAGCCACGAAGCACCGCTTCTCTCCGGTCAGCGGCGCTCAGCCGAACGCTTTGGTCCAAAACTCGCGAGGAGCGACAGGCTCTTTCACGGGCATGACCGTGGTCCCCAGCGTACCTGCACCCGTCCCTCTTCACCTGAACTCCCCCGATGCTGTAACCATTGAGTTAATCTTCAGAAGTTCCATTCTGCCATGTAACGAAGGAGTATTTACGTTATAGGCTAAAAGTACAACGACAAGGCTAAAAGGGCTATCAGGTTAGCATCGGAAATTTAAAAGAAGCAAAATAGGAGACTGTATCCTACCTAACTTCTGCGGGAATAGGTTTAAAGGTAGCAAGCAACACCGGGCTTTTTAACTAACGACGAAAAGAAAAAAAAACCTGATGAGACAGCCACAACTACGAGACAAGTTACTGGTATAAGCACTGGCTTCTGCAAAGCACGTTATATTTAAAGGTGTCTGTATTTTAAGCAAAAGGAGCCCTTCTAAAGCCTCTGGGAGCTCAGACGCAACCGCTTACACCCTCTGCTTGAATATCTGAATCAGTGCCTGGACCGTGCGCGAGCTTGGAGCCAGACCCGGAGCCAGAGGCAAGTTCTACGGGGTGTTGGGAAGAGGTTTGCTGCTTTTCCTAAAAGCAGAGACTAAGGGCAGGAGTGATTACTTAGACGATATATTCTAACAGATAGGTCTCAAATTCGTCTTACAAATGCAATGCTTTAATGGGAAGAACTTCAACACCACCACCCCCCCCCCAAAAAAAAAAGCAGAATTCAGATTGGTTTTGTCTTTATATTAGCAGCTAGCACAGCTTTGTGAGAAATTCCAGACAGGGGCTGAGCTTCTCCAAGACACTGGAGGCCTGTGAGTACCCACGGCCAGCTCAGCAGCTCAGGGTAGTTTTTGCTTTGAGAGTGCTGGCTCTCGCTGCAGAGACCGGCAGGAGCCCCAGTGCCACCAGATGGGGCTGTGAGCCCGAGCAGAGCGGGAATTAAGGCAATTAGTGTGACCCGGGTAAGGCTTTAAGATGCAGGACGGCCAAGGAGCAACATTCGCACCGATAATACGGGACAAAACTCCCCAAACGGCGTAACTCAATCTAACGGCATCCCAGCCACCGCTTGGGTTCAGTGGGATACATCCAGTCCAAGAGATGGGTTTTGCAGGTCCCAAAATGAACTAATTTAGGCTCTTTACGCTTCATAGAATCATAGAATCGCTTTGGTTGGAAAAGCCCTTTAAGATCATCGAGTCCAACCTTTAACCTCACCCTGCCATCCCACCACTAAACCCTGTCCCTCAGCACCTCATCTATCCTTCTTTTAAATCCCTCCAGGGATGGGGACTCGACCACCTCCCTGGGCAGCCCATTCCAGAGCCTGACAGCCCTTTCGGTGAAGAAGTTCTTCCTAATGTCTAGCCTAAACCTGCCCTGGCGCAGCTTCAGACCATTCCCCCTCGTCCTATCATCTGTTACCAGGGAGAAGTACAACATTGGACTGGCAAAAATACAAATATCGGATTTGTTGTCGCTATGCCCACAGTTGCAGGCATGAATTTCTTACGTTCTTCTTTTCCCAAGCATATACAAAAATTATCAAAGCTAACGGCCGTGTTGAAATGCAGTTTTATCTGGCAAGAGATTAAATTAGTAGGCTAATTTACAAAAAAATCATGGGGGGGTGGGGTTTTTTTTTTTTGAGATAGCAAAGTCCAGGGCCGGGACCAGGAGGCAGCACAAAGTCCGTTCCTCCAGCCGGCAGCAGGGATGTTCTCTGTCAGTTTTAGGGCCATCGCAGCTCCCGTCCCGAGGCCTCGCACGCAGGCGTGGACGAAGACGTTGCTGGGATTTGGAAATTAGAGCATGCACTTTTTAACAGAAATAGGGAGACGGGGTCTGGCGCAGGCCCCGGAGCACCGCGATGGCGGCGTTTTGCTTCGGAATCAGCTGCGTTACCACGGCCCGAGTTGGCCCCTCCAGCACATCACGAATGCAGCAGAGAGCAGCCGGAATTTGCTTGTAAAGGGAAAAAAAAGAGAAGGGGGGAGAGGCCGCTCGCAGCGTTACGACCTCGCGCCCAGGAGAGCTGCACCTGACACACGGGCGACGCGATATCGCGCGGCGGGTTTAACTGTCGCGATCGATAACGTCCCGTTTGGAAGAAGCTCAGAGAGTCGTTGATTACAGAAAAAAAAAAATAATAAAAATTAGTACAAAGTATTTTCATGCGTGAGGGGTGAGGGGCTAAACATGCGCACACAGTTAGCTATTGGGTCCTCCTAAAAAAATAAAAAAAAATCAATGGTGGGGTGGGATTGCCGTGGGAAGCGGGGGAGGAGGACGGGGAGAAGGAGGAG